GTTTCACTTTGGCACAATTAAACGCAATCCAAATGATTGAAATGCACATAACACTTTAACGCGTCAATGCATAATTCAAAGGATTTCACAAAATACCCTACTGGCGTCCCAAGTAGGTCACCTATATACCCCATCAGCGTTCTGATAGGTCCACTTAATCCCTATCAGCGTCCCAGATAGGTCCACTTAATCCCTGCAGGTCCACTTATACCTCATCGGCGTACCGGATGAGTCCACTTAATCCCTAACGGCGTCCCGGATAGGTCCACTTATACCTCACCGGTGAACCGGATGAGTCCACTTGCATACTTAAATTATTTTTAAATCTCTTTAAACATTCGAAAGCAGCAATATCATGTACTCAACATATCACTGAAATCATTAATATGAATTTCACTTAAACCATTAATAACAGTCACTCTCTATAACATTTCAAACATAACCAATCAAATATTTTGGGCTCAAATTTAGAAAGGTAGCAGTTTGTAAAGGCATTCTAGCATAATTGCCAATTTAATATGTATAGAAAAACTCTTATAGAAATTCAAGAATACTGAATTACCACAATTTATGGGATACCAATCCACAAATAAACATTTCACAACAATACTATAATCAATTGCAAAAATGTCAATTTTTAAATAATAAGGCAGTCATTTGCACATGAATTTTACAATGTCTAAATATTCAAAACAGTAGAAAGAAATATCACAATTTTACTAAAAGCAGAAATATCACATTTATTTCTAACAATAGAAAAGAAAAATAAATAAATTTATTTTTCTAATTTACAGCATTCAAAATTTCTAACATAGATAAAATATCACAATTTTTATTAAAAAGATTATTTTTCAAGATAATGAGGTCGTGTGCGCATAAATTTTATCGTGCCTAAAATTCATGATAATAAGCAGAAATAATTATTTCATTTTATTTTTAAAAAGAATGAATTATTTTTCGAGACAATGAGGTCACTTACTGTCACACCCCAAGAATTTACAATACTATTATTTCTGAGATGTGACGGACAAAACATATATACATCTATTGATAGGACATATTTACAGTGGCGAGGTCTTACATAGTAAATAAAGAAAGCTAGCACAACAACAGTATCTTCCAAGGTTGATCTTGACTAGCACTCAAAATGAATCCGTAGTTATCCTGAAAAAAATGTTTACCATAGTTTGATGAGTTTGGCTACTCAGTAAGTGATCATCATAGTCCTAAAAATAATCATGATTGAAAGATATCAATATTTTCCAAAATGAGATCTATTCACAAAAATGCATCAACAGTTTCACTTTCAATAAATGCATAATTAAGTATAATCCGTGTAATTGAAATGCTTATAACACTTTTAACTGCAGTACATAATTCAAAAGATTTCACAAAATACTCTACTGGCGTCCCAAGTAGGTCACCTATATACCCCATCAGCGTCCTGATAGGTCCACTTAATCCCTATCGGCGTCCCAGATAGGTCCACTTAATCCCTGCAGGTCCACTTATACCTCACCGGCGTACCGGATGAGTCCACTTAATCCCTACCGGCGTCTCGGATAGGTCC